TCACAGTGTTACTGGAGGCCAAGGTAATGCCATCCAGAGTAAGAATCTGGTTAGATACCATATTTCTAAAATTTTCAGGGCAGAGTACAATAACCTCAGTTTTATCTGAATTAAGGAGCAGAAAGCAGAAAGGTCTTTATGTCTTAAGACATTTCTGCAGTTTAACTAATTGGTGTGTGTTATCTGGTTTCATAAATAGATAGAGCTGGGTGTCATCAGCATAGCAGTGAAACTATATACTATGTCTTTAGATGATACTGCCTAAGGGAAGCATGTATAATGTAAACAGAATTGGTCCTAGCACTGAACCCTGCGGAACTCCGTAATTAACCTCAGTGTATGAAGAAGACTCTCCATTTACATGAACAAATTGGAGTCTACTGGATAGATATGATATAAAACCGCTGGGTCGCAGTACCTGTAATACCTACAGCAAGCATAAAAAAAACACATAAACATCAGCAATCACTTTTTTGGACAGCACCAGCCCACTTTAACCCTTGAGTATAGCAGTAGAAATTATATATATGTTTTTATCTCATCTCTTTGTATTCAATAAGCGTTGATTGATACAGCAATAGGGTTGTCTTTTATGTGTTATTGTTCCCTCCATTTAGCCTCAAATCAGTGTGAAGGCGTACTGTTAAGTAAATGAATAATGTGTTAAATCTAAAATAACAAGCCTGTTTTGAAAAGGAACTTGGTAATAAAAACAAATATTTATGTAAAGATGTTGGGACTAAAACTAAAAAGTTTCAGAATTCCCTCTCTGTCCCCTTCTGGCCACCTGTGCCTCAATTTTAAAATAAAATAAAATAAAATAAAATAAAATAAAATAAAATAAAATAAAAACAAAACAACAAATGTCAATCAAATTGATCAATACGGCAAGGTCGTGATGATCCACTTGGTAAAATAAATTCATTGGGCATCTTTCTTGGCCTTCAGACAGTAAATCTGATGGCTAAATATATATGATTTTCATTTAAATTGTAGTAATGATCATTGGTGACACGAAAACATGTATGTTCTATATTAGTTAGATAGGACTTGTTTTTAAAATTATAAAAAAAACGTTTTCATCATAATGAGAGGGCATTTGGTTTGATTAATTAATGACTTATTTTTGACTTAATTTTGAGGTTTCCTTTAACTGAAAATCTTTGATGTTAGTTTGAGGAACTAAAGGGCACCAAATTCAGAGAATATTTAGATATTTAAGATATTTAAGTGTGATGTTGAAAGCTGATGAGTAATGTTCTAATATTTGTTATTTAGTGGTCATTTTTAATACTTTTATAGGTTATTCAAAGGATCGTCATGAGGGTTTGATCATTAGCAGGGGATTATGCACAGTTAGGAATGACAGAGGATAGTGGACAGGAAGGATCTGTATCTAGACCCTCTTAGACAGGTGCCTCTTGGATCACACCTTCTTTAAAAAATGGCCAGTAATAATTATATGTCTAATGGCTTGATTTAATAGTGGATTGTTTTATTTTATTTTATTTTATTTTTTAGAAAATGCAATTTCCCACTACAGTCATGAAATAACAATCATTATTAGTTTTTTATTTCTTAATAAAATCTGTTTTCAGGTCAGCTCCATGCATTCTTAGTACATGCAGTAGTATGTGATATTAAAAATTCAATCAGAACAGAGGATACTGGACAGAAACCTACAAAAAGCTTCAGAGGTACCTAGAAGGTTCGATATTTATAAATGTTTGACATTGAAGTTTACCATAAAGCTGAACAGGAATACTATAATACTTTAATACTATTAAACCTTCTGAATCTAAATGTTGAGTAAAAGCAGGGAAAGGTATGGGTGAGCCTACTGTTATAACTGTAAAAGAATAAAAGGAAATGGAGACAATATGATAAATTGCCAAAGTGAAATGTCAATGTTTATTTATTTTGCTGTGCTGACAAACAAAATATTAATTAGAAATATCTTCTCTGCCTTGAAGCTCAACTAGATCAACTGACAACAGCAATGCTTCTGTGAAGAGTGATCTCAGTGGTGAGGATGACTCTTACAACATCATTAACACAGAAATCCTTCTTAAGTCAGTGCTGTCAACAGAAGAATATTTTAGAACACAGGATATTTGTACTTTATTTAACATACTACTCCTATTTTCTTTACCCTGAGAAGGTATCACACTAAGAAAGAATGACATGTCATTGTATTTATTTACAAAACTCATATTTGTACATATTAGTGCAAAGATTCATGGTACATCTTTTTATATTTTTCTGTTTTTTCAGAGACCTCAAAGCAATGGACAAAGCTGGTGACACATCTGCGCAAAAGTCTTCTTAGAGAAAACAAACTGATTGAAGACACCAATCATCTTAACCAGAAAAACACAGAACACATCATAAGAGAAGACAGCACTGCAGAGAATAATGAACAGACTGGGGTGAAAGTGAAGAAAATATCTGATATATTTAAAGACAAGAATGGGAAGAAACCCAGAACTGTGCTGACTGTCGGAGAGGCTGATATCGGAAAATCCTTCCATGTACAGAAATATATAAAAGAGTGGGCGAAAAATACAAACCCTTCACTTTTCACTAGGCTTAAAACATCTTTAATTGGTAAAGAAAAAGAAAATGAACTAGGAATA